GAGCGATCAGGTTGACCTTGTCTAAATCAGTAGCGTTCAACATCAAGAATCAGAATACGACGGCGGATCTCATGGCGACATTGTCCAGTATGTATGAGCATCCCTCTGCGGCGAATAAGGTACATCTCATTAAAAAGTTGTTTAATTTGAGGATGTCCGAGAGCCAGAAATTTAAGGAACACCTGAACGAGTTTAACGAGATCACGGGTCAACTAAACTCGGTCAATATTCAGTTTGACGATGAAATCCAAGCCCTCTTGATACTTGGTCAATTACCCGACAGTTGGAAGGGTACCGTTATCTCGATTAGTGGATCATGTGGCAAATCAAAACTGAAGTTCATTACCCGACAGTTGGAAGGGTACCGTTATCTCGATTAGTGGATCATGTGGCAAATCAAAACTGAAGTTCTCAGAGGTGGTGGACATGATTATGACTGAGGAGATTAGAAGGCAAGAGGAAGAGATTTCTAACTCAGGGTCGGCGTTGAATCTTGAGGGCAGAGGAAGAAACAGAAACAAAAATAGAGGGAGTAGCCGAGGAAGATCTAACTCGAGGAACGGAAGGCCAAAGTCCAGGAACCGCAAGGGCAAGAAGGAGATCGACTGCTGGAATTGTGGCAAGTTTGGCCACTATGAAAATCAGTGCCGAGAACCCAAGAAGGATAAGGAGAACAAGACTGAAGCGAACGTGGCCTCAGGAGAATCAGATGATGCCCTGATCTGTTCGTTGGAAAGCAAGACTGAATCGTGGGTGCTGGATTCAGGAGCTTCGTTTCATGCTACCTCAAACAGAGATTTATTTGAGAACTACGTTTCAGGAAACCTAGAAAAAGTCTATCTTGGTGATGATCAGCCTTGTGATATTGTTGGCAAAGGAGTCGTGCAAATCAAGCTCAATGGGTCTACATGGAAGCTGAGCGATGTTAGACATGTTCCTAGCTTGAGAAAAAAAATCTGATTTCCATAGGACAATTGGCAAAAGAGGGATACGTTTCAACCTTCGCATGTGATACGTGGAAGGTTACAAAGGGGTCCATGGTTGTTGCCCGTGGTATAAAGACAGGTTCTCTCTATATGACGATAGATGCACGTGGCTCCATTGCAGTGGCTGAAAGTAATGAAGACCCAAATTTGTGGCACCAGAGGCTAGGTCACATGAGTAGCAAAGGCCTAAAGGTTATGCAATCGAATGGGACGTTACCAGGTTTGAGATCGGCTGATATTGACTTATGTGAAAGTTGTATTCTTGAGAAACAAAAGAGAATAAGCTTCAAAAGGGTTGGCAGAACCCCTAAAGAAGAGAAGCTTGAGTTAGTTCACACAGACGTGTGGGGTCCAGCATCAGTACCATCCACCGGCGGAAGGTCATACTTTGTGACCTTCATAGATGATCACTCGAGGAAGACTTGGGTCTATTTCATGAAACACAAATTAGAAGTGTTTGAAGTCTTCAAGATATGGAAGGCTATGGTTGAGAACGAGACCGGTTTGAAGATCAAAAAGCTTCGTTCTGACAACGGCGGCGAGTATGAAGACTCAGAGTTCAAGAAGTTCTGTTATGACAGCGGCATTAGATTAGAGAGGACAGTGCCAGGTACACCCCAGCAGAATGGCGTAGCAGAACGGATGAACAGAACTTTGACTGAGAGAGCCAGAAGTATGCGGTTACAAGCAGGTTTTCCAAAGCAATTCTGGGCAGAAGCAGTCAACACAGCTGCCTACTTGATCAACCGGGGACCATCAGTGCCTTTGGAGCACAAAATACCTGAAGAAGTATGGAGTGGAAAGCATGTAAACCTTTCTCACCTGAGAGTATTTGGATGTGTTTCATATGTACATCTGAGTGATCACGCTAGAAGCAAACTCGATCCTAAGTCCTTAAAATGTTTCTTTGTTGGCTATGGCGGTGATGAGTTTGGCTACAAGTTCTGGGATGAGCAGAACAATAAAATCATCAGAAGTAGGGATGTGGTCTTTAATGAAACAGTCCTCTACAAAGACCGTGATGTCGTTCAGTCCACTAGTTCAACACAGCGTGATCCCACATACTTCGAGTCAGATGATGCCTCAGATGGAGGCAATCCCGAAGCTAGTTCTGATGAAGAAGAAGAGTTGATGGATGAGACTACTTCAGAGGGGGCAGATGAAGATGGAGAGCCTGTTTCGCCCGTCAAAGAGTTGAGACGGTCAGCTAGAATCCCCAAGCCTAATCCGAAGTACCCATCACTACAGCCCAGAGCTCATCTTAACTACCTATTGTTGAGTGACGGTGGAGAGCCAGAAAGTTATGATGAGGCCCTTCGAGTGGATGATGCGAGCAAGTGGGAGCTTGCTATGAAAGATGAAATAAAATCCTTGAACACCAACAAGACATGGGAACTTGCGAAGCTACCAACGGGGAAAAAGGCCTTGAGCAATAAATGAGTGTACAGAATCAAAGAGGAACATGATGGTTCCAAGAGATACAAGGCCAGATTGGTGGTTAAAGGATTTCAGCAGAGAGAAGGAGTTGATTACACAGAGATCTTCTCTCCAGTAGTTAAACTAACTACCATCAGAACAGTCCTGAGTATTGTTGTAGCTGAAGATCTACATCTCGAGCAGTTAGATGTTAAGACAACTTTCCTCCACGGTGACCTAGAGGAAGAGATATATATGCAGCAGCCAGAGGGGTTTACTCAGAAAGGAAAAGAGAAGATGGTATGCAGATTAAAGAAGAGCTTGTACGGCCTAAAACAAGCTCCAAGGCAATGGTACAAAAAGTTCGATGGATTCATGCACAGGAACGGTTACTCCAGGTGCAATGCTGATCATTGCTGTTTTGTCAAAAAGTTTGACCAAAGTTACATCATCATGCTCCTATATGTCGACGACATGCTTGTAGCCGGTTCAGATATGACAGAGATCAAGAAGCTGAAGAAGCAGCTGTCGAGTGAGTTCGACATGAAGGATCTAGGCGCAGCGAAGCAGATATTGGGAATGAAGATCAGCAGAGACAAACTCTTAGGCACACTACGACTATCTCAGGCCGAGTATATTCGACGGGTGCTTGAGAGATTCGGGATGAGTGGTGCTAAGGCCGTTAGCACACCGTTAGCCAGTCACTTCAAACTGACTAAGGAGCAGTGTCCTGAGACTGATGAAGAGAAAGAATACATGGCTAAGGTTTCATATGCTTCAGCCATTGGAAGCCTTATGTACGCCATGGTATGCATGAGACCCGACATTGCCCATGCAGTGGGAGCTGTGAGCAGATTTATGTCAGATCCAGGAGAGCAGCACTGGGAAGCAGTAAAGTGGATTCTTAGATACATGCGAGGTACAATAGAAGATTGTTTATGCTTCAGAAGAGGCAAGTTAGTCCTGCAGGGTTTTGTTGATGCAGACTATGCTGGTGAGATAGACCAGAGAAGGAGCACTACAGGATATGTTTTCACTTTGGGCTCTACAGCTATTAGTTGGGTTTCTCAGTTGCAGAAAATCGTTGTTTTATCAACGACAGAGGCTGAATATGTTGCGGTGACAGAGGCAAGCAAGGAGATGATATGGTTGCAGGGTTTCTTGGAGGAGCTGGGACATAAGAGTGAGAAGAGTGTCTTACATTGTGATAGCCAGAGCGCAATTCATTTGGCAAAGAATCCCGCTTTTCATGCAAGGACCAAACACATACAGGTCCGCTACCACTTCATAAGATCAGCGTTGGACGAGGACATGTTGGAACTTGTGAAGATTTAAGGAAGCAAGAACCCAGCTGATATACTTACCAAGGTTGTCACTACAGAGAAACTAAAGTTGTGCTCAACTTCAGTTGGCCTCAGCACTTGATGATACGGAGGCCGTCGCCGCAGAGAGAGCTGAAAGAAATTGATAGTTAGTCTCCAAGTGGGTGATTGTTAGGATATATGAAGCCTAACTATCAGGCGTGCCCTACACTTTAGAATGAAGAGGAACAAAGTTGGAACAAGAGGAACAGGATCGACGATGGCAAAGTTCAAGCAAAGCGACGAAGGAGAGCTTTTACAGCTTTGCGGTCGACCGCCCATGGCGCGGCGGTCGACCGACGACGTGCACAGGCAGGCACTAGGGTGAGGAGCAGCTCGCGGTCGACCGAGCATGGCGCTGCGGTCCTTCGTCACGGTCGACCGAGCATGGCGCTGCGGTCGACCGCCAAAAGTCCAGAGAGCCAGGCAGATTTCTGGGAGCATCGCGGTCGACCGGATATGGTGCGACGGTCGACCGGAGTCGGGTTTTGGCCCAGATTCGTTATTTAACCTGTTTTGATCTATTTCCTTTTTTTACTTGTTAAACCCTTAAGTCTATAAAAAGGTTGATTAGGGCATGATGTATTAAGACGAAAAATAGTGAATTTTTCTCTTGCGGCGGCCGTGGACGTAGTTTCTCACATTGAGAAGCGAACCACGTAAATCTTGTGTGTTTGAGATTATTTGATTTTCTCTCTTTTCTCCTAAATCTCTATTTCCAAATCGCATCAGGGGGTTGTGCATCCCCAACATTCTCTTTTTTTTTATTTTTTAGCAAACAAAGTGAACTATTATCTTAACACCAGCCAACTGAAGCTTATTAGAGCATCTCCAACAGCTTCCCCATTTCTCATTTTTGGAGAATTTAGTTAGGTTTTTGGTCCAACAAATTCCCCATCTCATTCCCCAAAATAGGGATGGAGGAGAAAAAATGGGGAAGCTTCCCCAAATCTGCAGCATTCTTCAAATTTTTAGAGGAAAAAAGTGATTCTTCAAAATGGGAAAGCTGTTGGAGTTGGTGTAAAAATTAGTTGGAGAATATGACTTTTGCTTCCCCATTTTGGAGAAATTTTTGGAGAAGCTGTTGGAGATGATCTTATAAATTATAATAGTTACCCATAGGCTTCGGTTCTCCCGCTCCCTTCAAAACAAAACAAAAGCATCGTGGCGTGTAACTTACACGTGTCATTTCCACTTGAGGATGCATTCACATCACGTGTCCCTCCTCCTCCTCTCTCTCCTCCTCCTCTAACTAAGTCCCGACTCACTCTCTCTCTCATCAATAATTGCCATGGCTTCTCTCTCTTTCCTCTCTCTCCCCCCATTGCCCAAGATCAGAACTAACCCTAACCCAACCCTCTCTCTCCTCAACAGCTACAACCCATCCGATTCCGTCAGCAGGTATCTACATATATACTGGTCAATTCTGATTGCATCAGTTAATTAATTGAGGTGTTTTTTTTTTCTTGCAATTATTTTGATTTTTTCAGTAGCAGGTTTGTTTTGGGTCCGAGATCCTTGAAAAGGAGAATGATGAACAGGGGAGGCGCCGTCTGCTACGCCGCTGCTTTTAGGCCCCAAACCCTGCAGTGGGTCTCTGCAGTTTCCACTGCGTGAGTAATCCCTTGAATGTTCCTTTTGCAAATTAGTCCCTGTAAAGTTTTCTTATTGTACTCCTTTTTGTTAAAAAAGACCAATTTATTTAAATTCAGTTTATTCATCTAGATACTGAGGGAAAACAACAATAATGAGACCCAGATCGATTAGCTCGAGCTCTTGAATTGAAAAAGATCTCTATGAAATTATTGAATCCTTAACTGGATAACTCCTCTATGAGGTGCCCATATCTTGATGTCTAAGCATGCATGTTATGGTGTCACACTTGATATCCCCCCCTAACAATGACTAGATGACAAATGAAAACCCTTTGTGATGGTTCAAGCGAGATGTCTTGATTGTTAAGCAATTGGTATGTGAATTTAGACCAATAATGAAAAGGTACGTAGCAGAAAAAAATACATACTTGATTAGGATCAACTACTCGATGGGTTTAGCCTTTTCAGCATGAATAGTGCTTTCGTTGTTATCAATTCGGCACCTGAGAATTCATAACATTAGGTGTTCGTGCTACTGTAAGAATGTTATCTGGGACAACTTGGGTCATCTCGGTGATGTAGATCCAAAACCGACTTGGACCTGTGAATTTTATTAGTCGTCCTGTTTGAAAGGGTTGACTGCTTTTTAGACCACATAGTCCCAGTACACTGAATTCGGAACAAATGCGCTCGTATGGCTGCGTAAACTGAACTTTTAAACATTGTTTTGTACTTCTAATTGTCAAAGAATAGGAAAGGAAGAAGTATAGCTACTTCTATGTAAACTCACAGAGCTAAAGAATTACCCTCAACTTATTGCTCGTGAGGCATGATTTGCGCAACATTGAGGATTATCATACACACACACACACTGACCCCAGTTTCTGTAACTAACATTGACTGCAATCGCCAACATGATGTCTTCTTGAACTTCACATTTGTCCAGGGAGTCAGGAGAAAACAATTTCTTCACAATATTAATCGATTACATACTTACATTTCTTCAGATACTTCCTTCTAATAAATCTTTTAATTCAGGGTATTAGTGTTCACAAAAGGCACTACCATTCAGAAATCTTTTCTAGTTCCTCTTTTTGCCCTGCAAGCACCAGCGACTGTCATCTCCTGGATCAAGTAAGCTGGTCTTCAAATTGTGATAAACAAGTGTTCTCTTTTCATTAAAGTTTTACTTGGAACAGTGTTTTTTTATAATTTTTAAATATTCAATTTCATAACATGAGCTCTGTTTTGCAGGGGAGAGTATGGTGTCTGGACAACTTTTCTTGCACTTTTAGTTCGTCTATTTTACTTCATCCCGGGTACATTTATAATGATTTTGAAGCAGTCTTTACTGAATGTGCTTGATTAATGAATTATCTTTTTTCCTTAGTACATAATGTTTTAGTCTAGAATTTGAACTGAAAGTTTGGACATTTGCTATATGCTTCTCATGGATTTTAGGTGAACTTGATCTTCCTTTCTTGACAATGCTGCTCGTGATTGTTGCTCCTTATCAAGCAATGAACTTAAGGCAAGTGGCTTAGCCTTCAAATCTTATTTCCCCTCTCTCGATAGTATCTTTCAAGTTCATGTGATTTTCCGTTGCAGAGGGAGTCAAGCTGGTCTAATCATTTCCTTGGTGATTTCTGCATATTTGGCTTTCCAACATTTCTCAAGGGCCGGAAGCTTGAGACGGTCATTTGATCAAGTATCTGTCATTCCTACTTTAGCTATCATATGCATTACTATTGTATCATGCTTGTTTTGCTTCTGATCTTGTGACCTTTAAGGAGCTTCATGTGGCCATAGTAACTAAAGTGCTTTAAGGGAGATATGCACAAGGAGAAAAAATCGTGTAACAAAATTCTGAAGTTTGAGGTAGTGTAAACCTTTCAAGTACCTATGAAAATAGTTCTCAATTTTAATAATGTATGCTCTGTTAACTTTCCTTCTGTGATGCTGAACGCTCCCTCATTACTTCCGGCCCTTGAGAAATGCTGGAAATCCTGTGCATCATCTGTTTCTAGTAGCTCCATGCACATCAAGCCTTCCAAGTGTCATAATCTCGGTGGAAAATCACTTTCTCTTACCAGCATATATTATAATTATTTCCAATATTATCTAGCACATCAAGCACTATATTCCCTTATAAATGAAAGGCTTTCTATTAGCTAAATCCCTTAGAACAGTTATGGTATCCGAGGCATTGACCATGGATTCATTCTTGACAAATTCATATTGAGTACTGTATTTGATTGTGATCGAAATAACACCTGTGACTCAAACATGTCCATGGAATTCTTTGAATCCCGCCAACATTGGCAGTAATTCCAACTGATTAATGAACAAAGATTGTATGTATCTAGCTGCCATCAAAAGGAGCTTCTCAGGAGGATATCACAAATATATTTCCAGTATAAATGAATTTCTTACCCCCGCATAAAAGTTAGTTTGAGTATCTGAAATTTTGCTGATGATTGATAGATGTACTTAAATTTTTTCTCTTCATGATATGGATCAATTTGAAAAGTCTCCCTGATCTTGAATAATTCATTTGGCTCTAGAATTTATAGGAATTTGCTACAACTTGCTGTAATGTTTTGTGGATTGTATTCTATTCCTTGAACTCTTGTCCCATATTCATTTTTAAGTGTTATGTTATCTTGAAGAATCCATTTAACTCCAGAATTTATTGGAATTTCGTTGACCAATGTAATTTAGAGCATGTATGGGAACTTTGGATTATAATCCACTTGGATTATTATATAATCCAGAAATGGATCATAATCTAGAGTGTTTGGTAAATTTGGTGTATTATATAGTTCATTTCCAGTAGTAGAGTATTTGGCAGATGGGTGGATTATAATCCAAATGGCCAAAAAGGTCATGGTTGGTGGTGGGTTATTAAATGAGACGTTGGATTTTGTGAAATCATTAGGAGTATAATTTGTCTTTTACTTGGTCAAATCTCATGGCTTATAATCCACCAAAAAAATAAGCTAGGGTTTACCTTTGACTTTTACTTTGTCTTTTACTTTCCAAATATCTTGAAGTGGCTTATAAGCTACAAAAAATGTCTTATTAGCCGCTTTGACCATTTGCCAAACATGCTCTTATTCTGCGAGAGGGTTTACCTTTGACCATTTGCCAAACATGCTCTTATTCTGCGAGAGGGTTTACTTTGACCATTTGCCAAACATGCTCTTATTCTGTGAGAAGGTTTAGGGGAAAACCGTGAACTCATATTGTTGTGTCTCCATTTCTCCTAGATCTTTATTCTAACTTAACGTCTTTTTTATGCACTCGGATATGATAAGTACAAATGAAATCTACAAGTAGATCAAATAAACAAATAATAGTAGAAAAAATGTAACAAAGCTTATTTCTAAGAGTAATATATGCATAATGAAAGTAGGAATTCCTGGCATCTACTCCTAGGTCCTAGAGGAGAACTTCATTTTCTTGATGACTGTTTTGTTGGAGCCTGCCGAACATTTTCAATGCCTAATATCGGGAGTATAACTTTACTTCCAGCCTACCTCCTTACTGTAGAGACGTACATATACATATCTATGTATACACCTTTAAGTAGAAAAGTGATACTAGAAAGCATATCAATGTGAAGGAGGGAGTCCTTCTTGAACTTGAGTTCAAGTCATTGTAATCTGGAGGGGATGATCCAAAATCTGGTGGAGACGATCCAAACACTGACGGTCCTCCGCCTCCAGTTGGGGTTGCTCCAGTGGGATTAGTTGGGGTGGGGGTAGATGAACTTGTGCTGCAAACAAAGCATCAGGATCAATCCTACTTTTCCTTAAAAAAAATGGAAGTCTGAGTGCAGATAGAGAAAGCATACCTTGAAGAAGGATACTGACATGTTTGAGTACCTGTCAGATTCACCAGGAAAAAAAACCATAAATCAGATGCCATGGTGATTTTGGATCCATATTTCTGTTAATGTAGTAAGTATTTGATAAGTTAACGTTCAGTTGTAGTAGTTATACCACATGAAAGTTATTTCTTTATTGTGGAATTATGTAGCCAATATGTATGGGGTGAAGATTTTGTTATTGTTGTTGTACTTAAGGTAGAGTATGTTCTCTTGTTTTATCTGGAGAAGCACATGTTAGAAGCTTCTTGGTCTAAAACCAACACTAACATGGTACGTACTTACTTATCGAGAGAAGTAGAAGACAACAACTGAGATATAGGTGTTATTGCTATTTGGTTTTGATTTTTTTTTTTACGGTCTACATGCATATGCTTATATCCATGTCAACCTGTAAATAAGGGATCTTTCTTCCTTCTATGTTGTTATACATAAAGGATAAATTATTACCTATGCAAAGTAATTCCAGTATCTTCTATTACTTTATTCCATCTTTAAAAACATATTTATAATGACTTAACATTTGAGTAAAAAGGGAACTAATATTGCAGTATGACAAACAAAATCTTGAAATAAGAACACAAAAACCTTACTTGGATCGGTGTTAGTAATGGTAGCAGTTCCACTGAAATCACAACTAGTTTGTACCGGGTTCTTCTGATAGTAACTATTATATGCATATGAAGCATGATCACGAACTGTATCAGGATTAAAACAACTCCCCCCTTGTTGGATTGCTGAGCAGTCTGCACCTCCATAGCCACAGGCATAGTCGAGACCAACCTGCAATTGAGTCTCCGATGCACTCGGGTTTGCAATGCACCAGCTCTGGCCCGATGATGTCGTTGGATTTCCCGTTGCAGGAGTCGGTGATGTTGGATTTCCCATTCCAGGAGTCGGTGATGTTGGATTGCCCATTCCAGGAGTTGGTGATGTTGGATTGCCCATTCCAGGAGTTGGTGATGTTGGGTTTCCCATTCCAGGAGTCGGTGATGTTGGGTTTCCCATTGCAGGGTTTCCCGTTATAGGATTTCCCATTGCGGGATTTGTTGGAGTTGTGTCTGGGATTGTTGGAGTCATATATGGACTTGTTGATGGAGTTGGGATTGGATTGTATGTAGGAGTTGAGGTTGTTGGTGTTGTTGGGTTGATTGTTGGGAATGTTGCGTCTCTTTCAAACATTGAGTCTAGTGATTCTGTGTCCGTTTCAGGGAATAGCATTCTTTGTGCATGAATTTTAGGAAAAGGGAGGCTGCGTTTTGCATCATCTGAACCTTTAGCAAATGTTCCTACTGAATTTAGTTAATTCCAATGTTAGAACATTGTGGAAAGTATATCGAAGAGGCGATGAACTATATATTTGTATGAATTTTACATCTTAAGAAGCATTGGCATATGCTTTAATGTGCAAGAAGGGAATATGAATTGGTCCAGCAAACATCTTAATTGGTTGATGTTCAGCCACATGACGACTGTATAAACATGTCAATATATGATTTCACATCACAACTCAATTCTATTCTATTCCACAGGCATAACTGTTCGTAAGCTAGCTATTGCAGGAGTTGCAGCCTATAATCGGTAAAATTTTAAAAAACATTCAGCAATATTTCAGATTAACAATATTTTATTTGTTTTTATTTCTTAGATTGGAAAAGAACTGGATGGTAATTATTTTAAACCTTAACCCTTTTATCCCTTGCTGTTGCATTCGACAATATTTCAGCATTCTTATTATGTTGTTATTTGTGTGTATTTTATTTTCTTTGAAAACAGATGATAACTTTTCATGCGAGTAATGATACTTTGGCGATTAAATTTCTCGTATGCTCTTCCTTTCATCATTAAAACGCGTTGTAAACCTGTAATACTAGACATATACGCCATAACAGCATTCAGAGGAGAAAGAAAAAAAAAGGCGATGAGAGCACTCACCAGAGAAGAGGAGTAAGAGTGAGAAAACTCTTATGATCTTCATCATACCGATCTCTGAATCTTTTCAGTGTGCACACAGGAGACTGCTTTCTCTTCTTCTCTCTTGTTCTGTGTTATTACTTGTTCTCCTTGTATCAGAGGCCGAAGTATTTTTGCTTAGCAAAACAGGAGGAAGCCCAAGTGATTAATATTGAAAAGGAAGGACTTTGCCTTGTTTTTGCATTTTTAAAAATGAGGAAAGAACCAGATCTCTCTTTTTGGGCAGAGGAAAGGAATATGGAGGAAACTTGGGATTGGAGAATGGGAGTTTTTGATGTGCAAGCAAGAGATAGGTGGTGAGAAAAAGGAGGAGAATGGTTTGGAGTTGAAGATTTTCCTTGTGTTATGTATAGCTAACTGTATGCTTTACTACTGTGTGTGTACTTGGGATTTTCTCTCTCTCTCTCTCTCTCCCCTTCTCAAGAACCTTTTGTTGTTCATTTGAGTATATAATATAATAAGAATTATTTTCACCTTGGCCCTTCAAAGTTCTCTCATTTTCGCACTTTGACATCTCGGTATTTTTTTTAATACTTTGATGGACCGAGTTTAATATCGTTGCACTTTGATACCCTTGTTTAGATATCGACAGGTTTTCTGTGAGATTTGTTTGTATCTTGTGTTTAACTGGTGATACCCTATATTCACTACCCTCGGACATGTGGTTGTTTGGATCCCGAACAAATGAGTAAAATGGGCCTATGTCACATGCTTACGCTAGTTTAAGAAATTTGGACGGAGTATCAAAGTGAAATGAGATTGAAACTTTTGGGTAACAAAGTGTTGCAAAAATACTTTGGGATATCAGATTGAAAAGGGGGTAAACTTTGGGGTTCCAAAGTGAAATTAACCCATATAATAATAACGATAGGAACCTAGTATAATTAGCTTTATCATAATAATGATGCCCTTAATCATGATTGTTACAATGTGAGGGAAACCTGTCTCTCTTTTTTTTTTTTTTTTTTTTGGGGCTGCTGCTTTTGCTGTTTATTTTGGTAGGCACTGAACATAATGGGGTTGAAAGATTGTTGAAAATGAGACCTCGGGAGGAGTCGAGTTAATCTTTGGGATTCTCTTCTCTTTTTAACTTTGTTATATTCTTCCTTAGCTGCAAACCATACTAAGGTTTCTTTAGGATTTGATCTCTCTGTGGGCCTACGACTAGAGCCCATTATTATTAGTACGTTCTGTGAAAAGGCTACAGTAATCTCATCGTTAAAGTGATGCTAAGCTCAGTGTTAAAGCTTTAAAAGGAAGTGTGGGATCTCGAGAAAGAAAGATGCATATCATTTGTTATTTGTTCATCTGTTAATTATGGAAAAATAAACTTAAACGGGATCATTTCATTTGGTTTGCTTCATGCATGATATAATAATGCATGTACTTGATTAAAGTTTAAATTAGTTGTTTCCTTGATGAAGTCCGACATTTTATGTCCTAGTTGCTGAAAAATAAGTTCGTAGAAAACATATCATGTTGGTAAAATGAACACGTAGCGCGTGCTTGCGCTCATGTATGCACGTGCTTGTAGGAAATGTGCAAGGATGAAGTTGTTCAAGTTAGGGGGTGGCAAGAAAAAAAGCCCCATAATTAACCTGACAACATGATTCATATCCAACCTGGATCTTTTGGGTTTGGACGTTGAAATCATACCCCAATAGCTGATTTGATATGTTAGATATGGATCTCACAAGTAGATCCATTTTGTTATTCTATTTACATATGGATTATTAATAATAAATCAAGTTGAATAACAGATAAATATTTCTGTATATTAGTGATATAGGACGCTTAACTGACAATTTCATGGGGGATGCAGACAATCACGAGCTAAATACAGATTTATACGTATTATTGACATTTAACTGACAATTTCATGGGGGATGCAGACAATCACGAGCTAAATACAGATTTATACGTATTATTGACATCCGCAAAGAAATGATCATATCCAGACAATCACGAGCTAAATACAGATTTATACGTATTATTGACATCCGCAAAGAAATGATCATATCTTCTAACCCAGAAGGCGGATTCTAACATATTATGTATATAAATCGCCTATCTCGACGAGACGGAGCCAACTAGATTGTCAGAATACGAGAAGCAACATGGAACATATTTTGTGGAGTTTTTGAAGTCAACTGCACATCCACATGCCGTCAATAATTACACATGATGTCGGAAAGAATAATATATGAATTTGATTCAGAAGAAGTCCTAGCCAAGAACGTAAAAGAACAAATGGAGAAAATCAATGCTAAGTACAAGGCATATGTTGATCGATGCAGGTTAAAAAAGATATTTATCGATGAAGTTACTATTCAAGCTTCTTTCAATAAGGGGAGATTGATATAGGACGCTTAACTGATAATTTTATGGAGGATGCAGACAATCACGAGCTAAATATAGATTTATATATATTATTGACATCCGCAAAGAAATGATCATATCTTCTAACCCAGAAGGCGGATTCTAACATATTATACATGTAAATCGTCTATCTCGACGAGACGGAGCCAACTAGATTATCAGATTTTTAAAATCTCATCAGTTACACCCAGTTTTGACTGAAATCTGAAAATAACAGCCTTTAGTTTATTTTTAGTAATAAAGTTAGAGTCTATTTAGATTAGGAAATAAATTCAATTTTTGAGTCAAATTAGATTAGGAAACAAATTTAATTTTTATTCATGATTTGTTTCATTTATTATAGGGAGTTTTTTAGGATAGATTTTGATAATTTTTATTTTTTATTTTATAATTCTAGTCTTATTAGGAGTCTCATTTGTTTTTCTATTTAAGAAAAGTCATATAACCCCAAAGGCGAATAATAAATTTTAATTAATAAAATTTCGTTTTTCATTAATATTTACTTCGTGGATTCGAAGCTTTTCGTGGATTCGAAGACTGTCCTTGGTGGATTCCGAGGCTACAACTTCCACGCTGCGTCAATTAGTCTCCTTCCTTATAATCAACTCGCTTATCTTTCTTTATAACATGCTTTTTTCTAGTTTATACCATTATGGGGTGTTTGGTTGCACAATTTTATAGAAAAGTTTTCTCAAAATGTCTGACAATGGTAATTCTGTAATTAAAAATTTTTCGTAGATTTTCGTAAACCATGTTTGGTTCAAAAAAAATACAGAAATATTTTTTGTAAAGAACAAAAAAGTACTAAAATTTACAGAAATTAATTTTCTCTCAAAATGGGCCGAAATCACCCTGAAATCTGACACCACATTGACAATTTTCTATAAAGTTGACACTTTTTTATAAATTTAGGGGGTGTTTGGTTCAATTTCTACAAATTATAGAAAATCTTGCTATTTTCTATAAAGTTATGGGTCATTTTCTTGTTTTTGAACCAAACAAGCAAAGTAAAAAAAAACAAGAAAAATGGTACTTTTTTGACTTCTCAAAACTTTTCCTATAATTTTTTTAAGAAATACAAGGAAATCATATTTTGGGTGGAAAACATTTCCTATAATTTGTAGAAATTGAGCCAAACATCCCCTTTATATTAAAATAAGACTCGTATTGCTAAAAAAATTTTTAGAGGTAAGACGAAACAGCAAGCAAATGGAAAAATTGTATTACTTGTATTTGATTACAGTGACAGAAATTGATAACGTCAGGACACCATTCTTCATTGCAAATCCAACCTAAATTTTTGGAGCTACAAAGCTATAAGTTGACTCCTACTACGGAAGCATAGAGTTCCTTACAGTAACTCAAACACAATCATATTCATCACCACCAACTCATCCAGGTTCTGTTGTCGTCTGGAATTCTGCACCAAACAGCGACATCAACATTGCTGTGGACAAAAAATAACAGTGTAGTTATCACTGTTAGCTCTCGTGGATAAACCATCGTTACGCAAAAGAGACAGTAACGCGTAGGCATCAAACACAACCCCTCGTCGGGCCCAGTCCAGCTCAATATCAAACAGCCTGT